CCAGGCACCAGGAATGTCGCCGGCCGCGGCCCGCCCCCCGCCGCTCAGGGCCCTCCCACCCAGGCCCGCTCCTCCGCGGGGACTGTCTCCAGGGCACCGACGACCCCCAGTGCCCGCTTCCACTGGGAGGGGACACGCAGCGTGCCCATGGCTCAGACTAGGAGGTGAGGGCGGAGTGTGTGGCCTCCTGGGGTCTGGCGGGTGGACGCCACGGAGCCCCACGCCCTCGCCCCGCAACAACCCTCGCCCCCCACCCCACCCCGCTCTCGGAAGCCCTAGATGCAGTGAAGCAGGCGAGGCCTGTGCTCGCTCGCAGCTCAAACTCTAACCACCTGCCAATGTCCCCAACGCCGGAGTCCAGAGCCCTTCTGTCCTCCTGGCCAAGCCCTCGCAGTCCCCACCTGAGCCTCAGGCCTTCGCTGAGGCGGCGCCCACCTGGGTCTGGAACTGGTCTCCCTCCGCGGCTCCGCCCCGAGGGCTGGAGAGTCCCGCCCGTCCCCGCCAGCACCTGCGCTGGGCACGGTGCCTGCCCGCCCGCCCGCCCACGGCGGTACAAGCCCCAACCTGCGGTGGGCGGGAGCTGCCCCTGCGACCCTTGGCCCCGCTGTGGGCTGCTCAGCCTGGAGGCTACAAACAGGAAACACAGGCGCCTCCCACCCAGGAGACACTGCCCCTAGACTCCACCTCCAGACCTCTGGTGGTCACCCGGTCCCACCCACCGCAGGACCTGCAAGCAGGGCACTGGATGGGAACCCAGGGAGGTACTTGGAAGGCCCCTGAGGGGCGGGCTTGTCTGAGAGTTGGCCTCTGCTTCTCCGCCTCCCAGGTGTGGACAGGAGCTCACCCCTCACCCGGCAGGCCCCTCCAGCTCTGGCCTGCCAGGGTTCCCTGCTGGGTCTCCTGCCCAGGCTGCAGGCCAGACTCAGGGGCCTCCAGACCCACCCACCCATTTGCTGTGTTGTCCCTCTCTCTCTGGGGGACACTGCACCAGGCTGTGGGTCTGAGGATGGCACTCAGCCCTAGGCTAAGGTGATCAGATTTTAACATTGGTAAAGCAGGACAAAAGCGGGACACCATTGATAAAACTCATATCCCGGCAAAATAGCCACATGGCAGCTAAAAACCATATACTCTAGCTTGTCGTGCATTCTTTCCAAAAATCGGGACTTTTTAAAAACGCCATGGGATGCGGGGAAAAATTGTTAAAAACCGGGACTGTCCCACCAAAAGCGGGACGTCTGGTCACCTTACCCTAGGCCACAGCCAGGCGGCCAGCTCTGAGTATCCCAGGAGACAGACAGTGAGCTTGATGTCTGGGTTCTCTGGCCCTTTCTCCTAGATGGACCTCAGAAGCAGCCCCTCCCCCACTCGCCATCCTGTCAAGGTGCTGTGGGAACCCCGGCCTGCCCCCTGTCCCTGGCCTTCTCTCAGGGATGCCCGCCACTCAGCTAGATATGCCTCCCCACGACCACTGCCAAGTCCGCCTGAGACCCCAGATGTCTATAAACTTGGACAACCCCATCACCTTGACTTCTAACCCAGGGGATCTCCTGTACCCCTCGGGGTACTGCCCCATGCTCAGGGCTCTCCAGCCACTCACAAATCAAGAGGCACAGAGGGCGAGGTCAGGGAGGGTCCCCAACACGGAGCTTCCGTGTCCATAAAGGGTGCGCCACCCTACCCACCAACCAGGAAACTCCGGGAATGTCCAAGCCCAAGGCCTTTAGTGGCCTCTTGGTATAGGTGGGGCTCTGGGTGGTGCCCACTGTGGCCATGCTCGGCTAGCTGCAGTCCAACCAGAGGCCCTAGGAAGAAAGACCAGAGAACCCCTCTACAAGCATCCGCTGGAGCCCGGGGGGCACCGTGCTGCCTTGGTGTGTAGATGGGCAGAGTTGGAATCAGGGGCGGCGTTGACCGGTCCCACATGGGGGAGTCCTTCTGGCCTGAGCACCTCCCTCCCAGGAGGCCCCTCACAAGCATAAACAATCAGTCTCTTCAAAGGGCTTCTCCCCCAGGACCCAGGACAAAGACCCAGCTCTCAGGGGAAAGAGCATTCCAACTTGAAGTGCGGAGCCAGGAGACACAAACCCCTCAGGCGGCTGCCCAGCCCAGCCTGCCACCATGGACGCTGTCCTCAACCTGATGCCACACTCCACAGGAAGAGGGGGCTCCTCCTGAGTCACCTCCCCCCAACACCCTTGAGTGGATCAACCTGAGAGGGGCTTGGTGAGGGCCTCCCCCCACCCTCAGACTGACTCCCAGTCTGGACCCCCACTCCCCAAGGCTGGACCTCAAGGGGAGGGGGAAAGCTTCTCCCAGCACACGGTGCAGGGGTGCTCTGGGGCACCTCTGAGAAGCTGAGGGGTGCTATCTCCAACATCGGCCCCCAGAGGCCCATCTGAGCTGGCTACCCCAACAGGTCTCTGCTTCTGGGCTGTGGCCCAGGGTCCCAGAGCCTACAGCCAGCAGGGGGATCAGTCAGCAGTTCTGATGGAACAGTGGAGGACACCTCAGCTCTGCTGGGCCCTGGCCTCCGGCTGACCCCATGAAGGCTGCACCAGGGGCCACTTGAGTCCCTCCACTCATGAGCTGTCCCAGTTGTCTGCAGCCGGGGCAGGTAGTGACCCAGCGGGTAGGAGTCACCAGCCGACAGAGACTATGCCAGGGAGCCAGGTCCAGATGCCGGAGTGGATAGTTTGGGTGTGGGCAGCCTGGAGGAGGGGAAAGGTAGGGATGACAGGACTGAGGGCTCCCCATTCCGATGTACCCCTCCCTCTTCCGGGAACGGCCCTGCCTTTGAACCCCAGGAAGAGAGAGGTCAGGGACAGTGTGATTCATGGGCCTCCCACAGGAAGCAGCACACGGCCTGTGGGTTTCAGGGTTCCTCCCTGCAGGGAGGCTCTGGGTCACCTACAGGTCTGCACCCATGCGGCCAGCCAGTGGGTGGAATGGGGCCAGGGTCTGGTCATTGTCGCAGCCCAGCCCCCACCCCAAGGTGTCCATGTTCTCCACGGCTGGACCTAGGCACCAAGTCCCCAGCAGTGGGTGCCGGGAGCTTGGGACACTGCTGATGCTGCTCAGAGTGGGGGCTCAGGGAGAGCAAGCCGAGGGGACCCCACCTGTAAGGAAGGGACAGCATGGACCAATGCCGGGCCGGAGCTGCCAGAGCACAGGGAGAGTGATGGGTGGAGTCAAAAGGTCCCCCGTGGAGTGCTGAGCAAACAACACCCGCTCCTACCCCCTCCTCCCAACCCCCCAACCTGCTGATGCTCAGTGGTGGCCTTTAGGGGTGGAGAGGAATGGGGTAGCTATCCTGCAGCTACCCCTGTAGAGGGCAGGAAGCCCGGGCAGCCCCTCTATCAGTGAAAAGGGATGGGGTGGGGTCTACAGGAGGTGTGGAGGAGGGGTGGGGGGAAATCCCTGAAGAGGTGGGGAGGAGTGGGGGAGCCCAGGGCAGCTCTGGCACAGGTACCTGGTCATAAGAGGAGGTGGGTCGATTTTGCCCTCCTCTGTGTGAAACCCCTGCCCAGCCTGCTCTCCCACACCCTCCGGGGGGCATCCTGTTGGTGAGGTCTCCACCTGCCCTCCCACCCACTCAGTAAACACCCTGCCCCTGAGACTCCCTTGCAGGCCAGAGATAACTCAGAACCAGGGGGTGTGGGGAGTGGGGAGGCAGAGGTTGATGGCCACTGAGGGTGTGGGGCTGGGGCTGGGGGACAAGGAACATCAGGGCTTCGAGCTGAGAAGGGGGTGGGGGGATCGTGGAGGTTGGCTCAAGGGTCTGCAGCCCGTCAAGGACTCCTGCAGAAGCAGTGACCAGGCCACTGTGGAGGCTGGTGAGGACACTCAGCAGGGGACTGCACGGTGACCACCCCTCACTGGGGACCCAACACCCATGTGGCCCAGGACCCTTGAGTTCAGCACTGCAAGGGGACTGCTCGTCGCCCCCAGACCCCACCTCCCAGGAAGGAGCATGACCACCCGGATCTGGACTGGGCTCAGATGGGGGTCTGTCACACTCCACCAGCCTTGACCTTGCCCTCAGACCCTTGCCAACCCCGCCCCAGGTCTCTGCAGAGGAGCTTGGCCCCCCCACACACACTGCCCAGTCCCACTGTGGCCCCAGGAGCCTTGAGAGTGGTGAGGAATCGAGCAGCCATGAAGAAACTCCCCCCACTCCAGAGCCCCCACCCCCACACCATGAGGAAGCACAGCCCCGGGACTCCGTCCTTGAGTAGGCAGCTTCCCCAGGGCCCCTCCCCAGGGTGGGGTCTCCAGTTCCGAGGGGCGTTCCCAGGTCTCCCGGGAAACGGCTTCCAGTCAACAGCTTCCCTCATCCCCATAGCAATGGGCCTTGCACGCCTATTTCTAGGACAACCAGCTTCAGCGTCCCAGTTGCCAGAGCAACGCCCAGAACGCAGAGCGTGTGGCCACGCACCAGCTCCGGAGAACTGGACCTAGCAGCCAGGGCCCCGCAGGTGTGGGCCGGGCATCTCACAGAGGGGTGCGCCAGGAGCCTGGCTATGAGTTCTGCCTCCAGCGAGCCGAGCAGTGAGGCCCCTGGCGAGCGACCCAGGCTGGGGCTGGACACGGTTATCCAGGTCAGCGGGCTAGGGGCACTGGGCAGGGCATGGCACTGGGTAGGGGGCAGCCAAGCGCCTATCTCCACTGGTTTCCACAGCCACTTGTTACCCGCTCACGTGTCCGGCACGGGCATGCGCAGTGCACGTGCACACAGGAGAGGAGGGAGGACAGGGTTGGGGACCAGTGTTCTGTCCAAGCTTGAGCTCTCGCCCAGCACAGTACGCACTGGACACTATTCCAGGGGCTTCTCGCGACAAAGGCAGGGCCACTGTTTGGCAGTCACTGCCTGGGAGGGGAGGTCAGCCCCCACGTGCTCTGTTTCCTCAGAGCACCCCCTGCCCAGGAGCAGCAGGAATAGTCAAGGCTCACCCAACACCCTGCCCTCACCCTCACTCCCAGAGCCAGGTGTCCAGCCCTGGGATGCACCCACGCCTCCCTGTCTGACCCATCACCCCTGCTCCTGTCACCATGGCCAGGTCTCCGCCTCCACTGGCCCCTTGGGGTGCCCCGGAACCCTCACACACTGGCTGACTCATAGTCAGTTATGAACAGCTGCGCTGCAGGGGGTTGGTGTGGCCCCACGTGAACAATGCGGGTCCCCTGAGGAAAGCAAGCGTCAGTGTGGTGGCAGCCGATCAAACAGCACACACACACACACACACACCCCTGTAGGTACACACAGATGCACATGCACCCAGGCATACACATACATGCACACGCATATACACACACACCCATACAAAGAAGAGTTCTGTGTGTTCCTGGGACAATCCCATTACATTTTAGTTTCATTTCCCCAGAGACCTGGGCTATGAAACTAGCTTGTGTGTCTCACAAGCACGGACCTCACTTTCCAAGTCACAGCTCCTTCTGTGCCCACTCTGACCGGAGGGGAGGAAGCCAGAGGGCTAGGGCTGTGGCCCTTCGCTGTTTTTCCTTTCCGATGTTTAAATGCATCTAGTCTTCTGGTTTCCCTTGTATTGGCGGCGTGTAACACACACAGGGAACAGCATGTGCTATGCAGAGGGAGGACCCTCACGGCGGTGTGGTGACGGGATCCTGGGAACCCCATGTCGGTGGTGGTTCATTCTGCTTTTCCTTCTTCCACAAACGTGGTGAAGCCCCCTGTGTATGCAGGCACCCACACACACCGCACACACGCACAGACAAGTGTGTGCAGGCAGCTGTGCACACACACTTGCTCACTCACAGGTGCACACCGGCACTTCCATGTGCACCCACAAGTACACAGGCAGACGCATGTTCGTACACCCCCACGGGCACACAAGCATGTACACACAAGGACAGAACTAACAAGAGCAGGTGTAACCAGACCAAAGAGGCGGAGGGTGCCTCCTCCTATGGCTGGCTCTGCCGGGTGGGCTGGGGCTCTGCTGGTGGGTTCTG